TTTTTTCTCCCCACTCTTCAAACATTGCACCACACCAAAGCACTTAAAATTTAAGTAAAGGGAGATTATAGCCCAAAACCAGTTTTTCTTAGCAGTGCCAATAAGGACTCTAAGCATAAATCTAGAAATGGTGTTGAATTAGACTTTTTTGTTGTTTTTCCTAACCTCCTCTTATCTGACAAAGAAAACTCTTATGCACACTATAGTGATGGTGGTAGAAAACTAATTGACATGCATTTCCTAGGATTTTTATTCTTACAACTAACAGTGCAGAAGGACATTGTGATTAAGATGCTACAAGGCCTGACATTTGAGTACAGATCAAACAAAATCTGACTTGTCATGCCAATTTTTAGTGAAACTGCATAAAGCAGGGTGCAGAAGTATTGGCAGAAAACCCCTCTCATAAAGCTTAACTCTCTGAACTTTTCAGAGATTGCAGCAGCTTTTGCTGTTCTTTTTTGTTGAAGTCCGTATTGAGGCTACAGTGTTTTTAAATGTATTCCAGGCTCCACTTTTTGAAGACAGAGTCCACCCATAACCTAGCTTAGTTTGTGTTAACCTTGATCAGTACCATAAAATGATTCCATGTGAATTTTTTTCATACTCAACTTTTTATGAAATAAATTGTATTTTCTCTGGGCAGATCAGGTTATTTGATCAGTAAAACCACTACTGTTTTAGGTAGTCAGATTGTTGATGTTTAATCTAAATGTACATGAGTTAAATCTGTTCAGTAACCTTCAAAAAGCTTTAATCTTAGCTAATTTGGTCATTAAGTTCATAGTTGCACACACTGAGAGGCAGAGATTTGAAGGAAGATGTAGAAGACTCAATCTGAGCAGAAAGTCAGTTTCCAAATTCATACAAACCCTTTTCCTGATAGAGTCTTACTAGCTAAGAGGTTATCTCCAGAATGACAGTATTTTGTCCTGAAGGAAGTTGCGGAACAGAACTGCATTTAAATGTATTGTCACTCTGTAAAAGTCTATTAATGATTACTTTTTTTGACAATAAGTCTATGCTAACAACTGATCCATGCATGATAATGTCTTTATTTAGATACTACTCCAAATATAGATCTTTATATTCCTGCTTCCAGATTTTACTTTTGTCTTCCAAGAATTACTTTGATGTGCTCGAAGTATTGACTATGTTCACATGAAAGAAATCCACCTCCAAAACCCATGATATCCTGTCCAAAGATTTTGTGCATAGAATGATTGCAAACATGTTCTGATTGAAGACACAGTTTTAGTGTTAAGAAAAGATTAAGCAGATTAGTAAAAGCCTATTTCCCTTGTCAGGATCTTCAATGACTAGGGCTAAAATATGTCCAAGGAAAAATCGGTATTACTGTTGAAAATTAATTAATAATGTTTATGGATGTTAATAACCTTATTAATGATTTAGGATTTTTCATAAACAATGAAAAAAGGAAGGATGGAGTACAGTAACTATTTTCAGTGTGTTAATAAAATAATGTTGTGTAGCTCTTGGCTGAAACCTTATAAGAGAGTATTTTCGGTGTTTATTTCCTATGTTAGAAAGTCAGTGTCATACAGTTTGTCCACAAGCAACTTTATCCTCTCTTGTTTATTTTTCCACATAAAAGTAAAACTATTAATAAGATTTGTATTTGCTTTTTCTACAGAACCCAAATCAATTTCACAGTAGCTATTGATTTCACAGCCTCAAATGGTAAGAATAAGAATAAACATCTTGTGTATGTATATGCTGTGTTCAATTTTAAGTGTACATATATGTGTGTGTATGTATCTATATCAGTATTCTGCTTAACTTCATTGTATTATTGGTTATCTATATGCCTGGCAACACCTGGAATCAGGATTCTGTTTTGCTGAGCAACAGAATAGAGGCCAATTCCTGTCCAGAAAAGCAGGGAAAACAGAACAGATAAAAATTGAAAAAGCTACATACAAAATTGACTAAGTAGGAGCAGTTTGCAAATTTTTATGTGCTTTCTGAATTTTTTTTTGTCTCTTTATTATCGCTGGGAGAAAACTAGCTAACTTAGAAGACCCCATTGAGAGGGGTAAAAGAAAGGAGTTTCAGGTGGAGTGAGGCTGAAGTGAGGTGAAGCAGAGATAAGTTTTCATCCTCCTCCAAAGGTGCTTTCAGAATGTCATAATACTTTTGTAAATTTAATCTTAAAAGTATGTATCATATTATAGAATAACACAAATTTACAAGTCTAATCAGTTTCTTGCTGCCCTTTCAATGCTGAAAAAGTTTGCAGCTAGTACTGTTAACCTATTAAAAATGTATTCAGAACATTGCATTTTTACCTGATACAACCACGGTTATGTATATAGAAAATAAGTTAATTTTCTTTTCATGATCTTTTCAGCTTCTGCTTTCTTAGATTTCAATAATTTTTAAGGGAGAAAATTTTGAAGTGATTCAGTTTTAAAGTAAATCTGATCCTTGCTTCAACAGGTAACCCTTCACAGCCTACTTCACTGCACTACATGAATCCCTATCAGCTGAATGCTTATGGCATGGCACTGAAAGCAGTAGGTGAAATAATTCAGGACTATGATAGCGACAAAATGTTCCCAGCTCTGGGTTTTGGAGCTAGACTGCCTCCAGATGGAAGAGTATCACATGAATTTGCACTGGTAAGTAAATAAATATTTATATATGGTTTGAATTTCTTTACTACAACAAAATTTTGGGAGTTAAGGTTGCAGTCTTAAGCAATTACTGGACATGTAAAGAACAGAGAAAGTGCTAATTCTCCTGTCTAAAAAAAATGTTTCAAAATTTTTCATCATAATGAAGTTACTGAGAGAAATCCAGAGTCAAGAAGTCTCTTTAGGCCAAAAATAGTAATAAAGAAAAGTAATCATCTTTAACCTCAGCTGTAGTGGCATGAGAAACAGATACTTGAAAGACTTCAGATTGAAGCTAGTCTGTCTTAAGAAGCAAGTGAATCATGATCCAAGATAATCTTTCATTACTATTGTTATTGTTCTCTCTCATTTTCTGGGAACTGTTTATCTTTTACAGGCTGCTAGATTAGAGACAGAGAGATAAGTAAGTGGACTATAGGCTGAGGTGACAAGAACAAATCTGAGACTAGTCCATGTGCCAGTTAAATTACAAACTTAAAATCTATCAGGATTTGCCAGGAAGGTTGATATGTTACAACTGATGCTTATGATTAGTGTGGATGTTTATCTACTTGCTTATTTTAAGTTTTTTGTTCTTCTCTGAGTAGGATAAGTTGTCAGAATTACAGCAAGTATAGGTGTATCAGGTGAGTTCTAATTAGATAGCATGGCAGAAGACTGATGATTGTAGATGTGTATTTCTTCTGTCAGCCTCTGCTAGAAAATGATGCCACGTGTCTTATCTCAAGGAAAGATTTTCCACGTGGTTAGTAATTTCAAACAGGTACAATTGCAGATATTTATTTGAATCACAGACTTTCTTTGGACTTTGTGTAGCAAGTTCAAATATGTTGATACACATAATCTTAAGGCTATTAAAACAACGGACGTATTCCTGGCTACTTTCAGTTTTAAAAGTTGTTTCTAAAATTAATTCAGTTAATTCATGAGGTGTTGTGGTGCTTTTACAGAGGAAAAAAGAGTCTTTTTTTCCTTCCTCCATGTTTAAACATCTATAGATGTTTCCTATTTAATGCTAAGCAGTGTTTTCAGCACTTTTTTTAATGTTCTAGATCAATTCCATGAAAAATCCCCTTTGCTTTTCTAGATTCTCAGGGAGATATACTCTGCCTCAGAATGAGATACTGGCACATCAAGCCAATGAGGTGTTGGCACATGAAGAAGAGTAATGTGATTTGGAAGGTTTTGAAACCTTGCATGGATCATTTGTCTGGCCTGGCATGGGTCATTAATCTGGGATTTAGCTTATATGTTTGTATTGTCATCTGTAAATAGGTTTCCTCATTATAGAGTCATTATGGAGATAGGTAGTAAAATGCCTATGCGAAGAATTTACCATCCCAGCCATTTCAGTGGGTTCGCAAAGAATAAGTTCCTTTCTTCATCTGTTTATGCAGGTCAAAAATCAGTTTTCCAATGCAGAAACATTGTACCAAAACAATGAAGAGTTTATAGTTTACCTTGTATTCACATAGTGTATGAACATCAGGATCTGGCTACCATTTCTTTTTTTCACATTTTTAAAATAAGAAACTGTAATTACTTCTAGTGATTAATCATCTCTTGTTTTCACTAGAATGGAAACCCTCAAAATCCATACTGCCATGGAATTGATGGTGTAATGGAGGCATATTACAGGAGTCTAAAATCTGTACAGCTTTATGGACCAACAAACTTTGCCCCTGTAATTAATCATGTAGCCAGGTAAGCATCAAAACAGGTACTTTGCAGAAAGTTCTTATCGTCAGTACAGCTATCACATATAAAAGGCTAATAGCTACATGATGCTAAACGTTGAAAAAGGTATTTAAAGTTGTTTTGTTTATTCAGTCTAACATGATTAACCTGTACCTTTGAGTAGTTTGAAGACCATGTGCTAGTATTATGCAGAATTTCGTTGCTGATTAAAAGTAAATACAAGTGATCCAGTTGATCCATCATATGTTAAAATCTTAGGAGAAATACAATGAAAGAAAATTTTTGTGAGATCACTTTGCTATGCTCCCTTTTTGTCTTTTGGAGCACAGAATTTCTGCTTCATACAAAAGACCTAAGTCTGTCATAAAATGTATAAAATACTATTTTTCTAGGCATATGTAGTTCCTCTAATCTCAAAATGTCCAAAAGGGCAACAAAATTTTCCAGGGCTCTCTGTGGCAACAATTCCCAGCTGGTAGTGGTACTGTTAAGGCAATAGTATAGCAGCCACCATTGAGGAGCCATGGTGCTGTGTTAAGCAACACCTCATCTAACTTCTTAAAGTAAAACCCTTCTTGTGTTTGTAGAAGTTTCTTAAGAAGGATAATGTTACCTTATTTTGGCAGACAAGTTCTTGACTTACAGTATACCCCCATGTGTTAGTCATATGGCTCAGACAATTTAGCTGAGTGACTACCTGAACAGATTTTATTTTATTTATAGATACAGAGAAAGAACTAATGTTTATAAAATAAAGCAGTAGACATGTGTAAATCATTGTACTATTAATGGTTTATTTATGAGCTTGCAAAAGAGTTAATTGTTGTAGCAAGAAACATTTATTTACTATCTATTTGTGCTGTTGTTAGTTCTACAGCCCTATGAAAAATAATTTGCAAAGAATTTTCTGTGTACCCCAGCACGGCTAGATAACTGATTTCTGTTATTTATCATTAGGATTAGTTGTTCCATCTTCAAGACATACTAGCTGTCTCCTTTTAATCTTCCCTTTGACAGGATCTCTCCAGTAGCAGTTTTCAGCCTGTGAGGAAATACATACTAATCCTTATGACAACTGAATTCCATATATGTGCCTTTCAGTGTCTGCATTAGCCATATTAACTGGAAATCTAACACATTGACTTTTCTGGCTCTTTCTTCTTCTTTAGAACTGGTTGTATCAGCTGAGCTGGCTGGTTCAGAATTCGGCAATTAATGTCAAGACTCCTGTTCATTGCAAAAATTGAAATTCTTAATCTAGTACCATCAAAGCATTGGCATAAATAGAGTTCCTTTTCTCACCAGTTTTTTCTCAGGAATATTTGTCAACTTTTGCAGAATTACAGAAGCCTGCCACCAGCATTTGTGGTTCTTCCACTGAACTTTTGTGTAAATACCAAGTTGTTAAAAACTTTGGGAGCTCCTTCTGGTAGCAAATCACACTACATTATAGTGGAAAAGCTAAATATCTTCCTGAAGATTTTTACTGCGTGATCCTTAGTACAATCCTTGTACCAGTCCGGTTCTCAGTAACATCATTTTTCTTCAAGGTTCAGTTTCTAGGCTATTCTATTGACTCTCGTAGACATGGTACTAGAAATTAAGATCTAGCCTACAGTTACTCTTTGAACCTACCTTCAGTCTCAAAGAAATTTCTTCTTCCCACATCTCCTACTTAAAAATATGCCTCTGATGAAATCTCTGGAAACAATGTCAGATATTACTGTCTGTTATGATCTTGGAACTCTTCAGAAGCTCTTTACACAGATAGTGAGTTTATTATCCTTCCCCCAGCTAGGGAGTTATCTAAACTACACCAGATTCAACCTAGTGTCTTCTGTCACTTCCCCTCCTCATAAAAGATCTTTCTTGCAAAAGACTGTTTTATTCTGTGGAAAATTTGAAATAACCAAATTTCTGTCCCCCTTCCGTGTAGGTATGTAAACAGTATTAAGTGCTCTGAAAGGATAATGAATTTTTATTTTACTCTCTCATCCTCCCTTGTCATGGCAGTCATCATTGAAAAGGTTATAAGCATTGTGGAAAAATGAAATTAAAAAAGTCTCCACATGGTAGTGAAAATGTATTCCACAGTAGGTCTTGCTAATCTAGATATTTAACTATCAGTCCCTGCTGCCAGCATTCAGATAGGTGACGTTCAACAGGTTCATTGTCTGTGTGGCTTTTCTACCCATCTGTATCTTGGGGAGGGAGAGGGAAGAATGTGATGGCTTTCTGTGAGTTGTAGATTCTATTTCACACACATTCCTCCAAACTCTTGTAAATGTTGTGGTTACAGCATCTTATTTATTGGCAATACTTGCTTGCAAATGTACTGTGTAACATCAGAGTTGGAATTTTCTAAGCACATGCAATCATCATGAGCATCATTAGAACATACCCTGTTCAGTGACCCAAGCCTTTCATGTTCAGTGACCAATAAGCTAGTGAGTGTTTTGACACTCATATTCTGTACTGGGGCATATATTCCACAGTATTCATATGGAGACTATTTTTTTTTTCTTTTTACTGCTTTCCATACTACTCATTACTACTTTTATTACAAGGTTCTACTATTTGACTCCTTCACAGTACCAAGAGCCTTCATGAAAGTAGGAACTATACTGACTGCTGTTAAGTGAAGCAGCAAGTGGAGCAGCCTACTCCACACAAAAAAAGTTCTTCACTAACTATATAGGACACTTTGCCCCTTGGGAGTTGAAGACAAACGAACTGAAGTCTTAGTTTTTGGTATGCAGGCCATAGAGTTCAGTGGGGCTGCTATGGACGCGCTATCTTTCAGGACTTTCCAAATCTTCAAAAGCTGCCGATTTTCAAAGAGCAAATGCTTCTTGGATCATTTGGCTGAGGTGGGACTGGAATGGCACTGGATGTGTTTTGTCTTGTATTCTTGTACAGCACAGGGAGAAGCTTGAGTCTTTAAAGGACATCTGTGGGTGGTACAAAGAAACAAGTATCTAAGCTAGGGTTGCAGAATGCACGTTCAGCCATTTTACAAATGTGCACATAAATGTGAACTATAAATCTGCAAGCATGACCAACAGTAAGTAACCTGTTTTTATAAAACAAACAAAAAAAAATTATGCAATATGCTGATTCCTGATAAATTTTATTTGTGCTATAAACCCAACCATTCAATATTAATGTATGCCCTTTGTACCAAATTATGCTCCCTAGAGGTAAGAGCTGTTAAATAACTTACTTTCTAACGACTCATGAGTCTATAAAGGACATTCTGTCATGCTCCTCTTGGTAGTGATACAGTTCCCATTTTTCACTGATTCAACACATGCAGCTTATCAATATCAATATTGTATTAGTTATGTTTTTCTAATGTTCTCATTTAAAAGTAGACTGTCCATCTTAATTATGAATATCTTTACTTTTGAAATCCACTTCATCATGTTTCTTTGTTTTTATTAGCTTTTAGTAATCAAATTTTAAAAATACAGCTTCTTTTCATATTAGTTCCTTTGTATAAAGGGTTTTTTTTACTATTATAACGTTGTTTTTTCTTCCCTTAGATATGCTGCTTCAGTAAAAGATGGCTCCCAGTATTTTGTTCTTCTCATTATTACAGACGGAGTTATTTCCGATATGGCTCAGACAAAAGAATCCATAGTGAATGTAAGTTTTGCTGAAAGTGTTGAAAATTAAAAGAATTGATTATAGGAATTCATATTTTAGGCAATAAACTAAATCAGTTAATATTTCAGGCACTAAATTTGTTCCATTATTTAACCATTTTTTCCAAACAGCAGAAGTTCATCATGCATAAAGATAAAAAGAAAGCAGAAGTTGAATCTCAAATTAATTAGATAGTGCTCTGTGGAAAATGATACTCTTCTCTCTAACACTGCATGTTCATATGATTTTCCTCATCTGCTTCTTGCCTCCTCCTTCCTCATGCACATCCCACCATGCAGTTTTTCCACAGTGAACTGTTCTTTATCTTTCTAGTAATTGCAGACAGCTTTGATCCTCCCCCTTTTTTAAAAACTGGCCCAAACTTTCTGATCCCAAATGGCAAGCATACCAGTCATCTGATTTCCTTCTAGTGTCCTAGAATTTTGGAAATCCTTCATTTTTTTTCTCAGTTTCTGCATTATTTTCAATATTTTTCTCTTCAAAACTGCTATGCATATAAGTAATATTCTGTATCATGAACAGATTCCATTTTGCTTTTGCCCCTGGGAAATGTCAGATGAAAGTACACACAGAAACTACTTCCAGACAGGGTTTGAAAAGATCTATACCAATAGTTTTGAACATACCACAGTGGATCTAGTTAATAGTGAAGTGGTGGGTGAAAAGCCTACATTAAAATAATTAAGCATCATGTCAAAATAAGTAGTGTAGAATTAGGTGGCATATTTTTGAAGGCCTGCTTTCACTGCCTCCTGTAGAGATTCAATGCCGTTCCAGTTTGTAGGGTGCACACGAAAATATTACTGAAATGTTCTGTCTTTCCCTGGAGAGCAAGATGCCCTCAAGTTCTAGCCAGCAGCATGTAGACAGAGTCTGTGTGTTGATAAGGACTCTGACAGCCCACCTGGTAAGTTTTTACACCCAAAGCTGTAACTGTGTTTGAAGGTACCAGTTTACTTCCTCTCCTCTTCCAGCTTCCAATATTAAAATAGGATAAACTGGCTCTGACTTTTAAAGGAGATAAACAAGCTTTTAGCTCAGAAGTCCATCCTCTAGTCTAGCCTAGAAGTTTGGAACATAGCTTCTTTTAGATTAGCTTCTCTTCACTAACAAAAAGGCTCTGTGGAGAAAAAAGAGCAGCTCTTGATTTAATTCACCCCTCAATTTGCAGTAGATAAGTAAGAGACCAGCAAGTCCAGTTGGCTGATACCTTGTAAGATTAAGTAATTTGCCACTAAGACATACAGAAAAACCTTGTTTCCAGTAATAGTTCATTTCCAGGAATAAGAGCTGTTAGTCTGCAACTGTCTAGAAATACAGCAGATGTGTTATTAGCTCAGAATGACCAGAAGTTTGGGAATATTTGCTGTCTTTTCTTTTTATGAAGATGCATTCGTTTTTCTGTATACTTGAAGTATGAGCACAGTACACCATGACAGAACTAATTAAATGCTATTCAGTGCAGTTTTTTTAGTCTTAATAATATCCAAAATAATAAAAAGGGCAGTGATGTTCAATGCAACTTGATAAGTATAAAACTCAGGAAGAGTGTATTTTGGTTTTTTAACACTAATTGTGCTTTTAGGCATCTTTCTTATTACAACATGTATGTCAGGCACATTCTGTTTTACCAAACTGTTTAAAGGTTATGCTGTCATTCAGGAAATGCCAACACTTAAGTTTATATGCAAAGGTTTAACTCTTTGTCGTTATGGTGTCCTTGCCACTTACTGTTTCATATACATATCACATAATACCGTGTCTGTGTGAGTAGGAATCTCTTTAAAGGATGTTTTCTTTACAATCAAGCAATGAGATTCTAGAAAACACCTGAAAACCAGAAGGTGTTCTGTTCTAAGAAATGCCTTCATGTCTCAAAAATATTCTGTACTCACTGTTACTGACTTAAGCAGTGCACTGTAATTCGGTTACAGTTACACTGTATTTATGGCCCTTAATCACAGAACCACAGACTGATGTTGGAAGGAACCTCTGGACATCATCTTGTCCAACCCCCCTGCTTGAGCAGGGCCACCTGGAGCTGTTTGCCCAGGATCATGGCCAGACGGCTTTTACTATTATCTTTGGTAGCATATTAGTATTTAAGTAACAAGAGATTATTAATTTTTTTTTTACTCTACTACAAAATTTTAGCAGGAACATTAACTGTGTAATGACACTTTGTGATGAATTTGCAATCAATGTATAGTATATAGTGTATAATGTATAGGAGTGTAGAACATTAAATAGTGATTTATAGAATGGTGTATTTTCATTGTTTTAAATAGTATGTTTACAGTAAGTAAATCTTCTGCATAAAGAAAGTTGGTTTTATATGTAGTATTATGACAGATGAAGAATGGGAAATGGTGATGATGTATCTAAACTGAGAGTATCTTTTAAATGAGGGAGAAAAATGCTTCTTATATTCCAAAAGAAAGATATAACACTATGTTCTAAAACCACTTCACTTCAGACTTCAGTGAAGCAGAGTTTAATTTAGCAGAAAGTGTACATCTATGATTTTTGCCCAGTGTATACTCCTGTTTAAAATGACTGTAGACATTTCACAGTTCATCAGATTATCTCAATAAGGAACAGTTAACCCTAACATTTGATAGAATTATAGTTTTTTTTCAGTTGTCACCCTCCTCAACAGTTTCAGATTATTTCTGTAAACTAGCAGATGTCTGATGCTACTATCAGGGCAGGAGAATCCAACATTTATGACACTGTCTTCATAATTTTAAAGGTTTTACAGAGAGTTTATTCAGGGAAAGCCAGATACCTTTGCTTTGTTTCGTTCAATGAAAAAGATTAAGTAAAATTAAAAATCTTACCATAAGCCAGTTCGATATCTTGTTTACTTTGTGGCACAGATGACTGACTTGAATAAAATTTCATTCATGGAAGAAATATAAGATACATGTTGCTCAAATAGGCAGTTTATTCTCTTGAGAAAGATTGGCATAAGATCTATGTAGAAAATGGTGTCACATAGTTCTAAGCAGCTATGTAATATCAAGAAACAACAAAGTATATTTAAATAAAGGTCAAACTGTCATTAGGTACATATTGGCAATTATTGTCAGCTTACAAAAGTTTCTAAGATAAATTTGTTATCTTAGTTACCATATTAGTATTATATCCTAACATAGTTTGTTGTGTTTAATTATGATCCTATATGATTCAAAGACTTTATAAGGAAAAAATAACTTAAAATAATCATCTGCCTTTCTAGCTTCATCCAAGATGTTTTGTACCACTTAAGTAGACAGTTTACACCACTCAGCATTTTGAGTGGAAGAAAAAAAATGTTCTTTAAAACATAACTTCTGCATGTTTTTTATTCAGATTGTCCTCAGATCTCATATATTATTGGCAGAGGTTAAGTAATGCGTTAAACTTCTTTTTCTTCTTCTTCTGAAGGCTTCAAAGCTTCCAATGTCAATAATTATAGTGGGAGTAGGACCAGCAGAGTTTGATGGTAAGTGTTAGAGTGTTTTTCCTAAAATTTTTTATTTGTTTACATTTTAGTAATATGTGGCTTTTCAAACAAATATTGTTCTTTAAAAGACCATAATATGGAACAAGCAGTAAGCACTGTTGACATTTCCAGCTGGATTGATTGATAACTCAGCATGATTACAAGCTACCATGTGGAGCTGTGTAGCCCCTCAGGCTCTCTGTTCAAGTCACAGAACCATATGGGGGCTCAGTACTTACAGAGCTCTGGAAGATGAGTGGGGGAAAAAAAACCCACAGTAAAGTAAGTATACTTAAGTAATGTTGAATTTCTTCAACATGGATATTTAGTTGCCTTGTGAAGTGTCAGTTGACTGGAAATATTGATCATCTTTTCTTACTGCAGTAATAAAATACCAGGAAAAACATACATTTAATGAGGTGATCTGGGTTAATCCGAGTTGCGCTAGATAACAGGAGTGAGCATTACTGTGTAGCAGCATTGAGAGAATATTACAGCAGGAGAGAAATTACCAGGGTTATTTACATATTCTTTCATGTGGTGTTCTGGAACACCATTCTCTATTGCATTATGTAAGCTGCTTCTGTTATTTGGACTAATTTATGAAGTTCCTTCATGTATATTACTGCACTATGAAGTATAGGCATTCCCTATGTATCTATTCCTTGAAGTCCTACATCCTTTCTTTTTAATTCTAGTACTTCTGGTTAGACAATATGCCTTTGTTGTACATGAAATATGCTTAGTACTACCACAGATATATAATGTAAGTAGTCACTAATGACTGTACATGTTAATTCTTGTACAAATATTCTAAGAGTATGAAAACAGGAGGAAAAAAAACACAAAAACCAATTTTTAGGGGATTGACTTGCTTAAGCTTTTTGGCAAGTGGTACTTCTAAGAGTATGAAAACAGGAGGAAAAAATAACACAAAAAACAATTTTTAGGGGATTGACTTGCTTATGCTTTTTGGCAAGTGGTATGTTAGTGATCATTTTAAGTATCTTATTCCTTGAAGAGATTGTCCAGGTGGACGCTTGTACTTCAGATGATTGCACGCCACAAGCAATGAGAAAAGACAAATTATCTTCATAAATGCATGAGGGAAATTTGCAAACTTCTTTTTTACCCCTGAAAATTCCAACTTTAGTCATATGTTACTTACTTTTCTCTCACCCCTCCTTTGCCTCTTCCCTTTCTCCCTGTTTGTTCAGTCCTTGGGTTAGCCCAGGCTCCCCTTAACTCATTCAGGACATGTAGCTTGTGTCTTCTTTTTACTCCTGGAAGTTGTATTTGCAACCCAAGAGCTCTTGGGATGTCATCCCTATTGTTTTTCTTAAGGCAGGATTCTCTTTGTACTGCAGGATGCAGTTTCTATCTTTGGACCCACACTCCTACTGCCTCAGTGAAATCACCTGTTAGGTGTGTGCCAAACCTGGAGTCCCTCAATGCCCAAGAGGGCAGAGAAATGACTTTTCCATCTTCAGAAATTCCTTCTGGAAAAAACAACAGACTCCATGTCTGATGTGGACGCTGAAGAAGTGTGTGTGTAGGAGGGTGTATGTTCTAGGCACACAGTCTTACAATTCAAATGCCAGTCAAGCCTCAGTTCTGCTGTAGAGAGACTGAGCTACTCCTCTCCAGATATCACTGCCCCCAAGATGTCCCAGCCACTGGGGGATACCAGAGGGGTTCTGAAAAGTCTGCAGCTCAGACAGTTGGCACATACATTTGGCAGAGCTTTACTTAAGGGTGTGAGGATGACTAATAACAAGGCAGATCAGAGGGTCTGTTTTGCCCAGTATTCTGTATCTGATGTGGCCATGCGTGGTTATCTAGAGAATGTTAAGAATAGAATAAGCAAGTATGATACTTCCCTGAATACTGTTTTTAGATTTGAATTTCCTGAGCAGGATGTGCTTTATGTCTATTTCAGAAATTTTCAGTGGATCTCTGCTTCAAATACTTGTTCAGTCTTGTGGTTTGAACACAGATACATTTTTTTGCATCAACAGCATCATCTGGCAACTTGCTCTACAGACATACTGATTTTTTCTTTGAACAAACATGCTCTTTTGTTTGGCTTGAACTTGGCTCCTGATAGCATCATTTATGCTTTCTAGTTCTTGCATTGGAAGAAATAGGTTTTGAAATGCTGATTTCAGTGACCTCAGCCCAGTTTGTAAACCCCTGAGAAGCTCAGTGATGCAGGGCTTTGATTTTCATAGCATATACTCAAAGAAGCATTGTAGGATTGCAGATCCAATGGCTGATGGATAATCTGTGATCCCAAGTCCATCCATTTCAACAGTGACCAAAGAGCAGGTATGCCTTTCTACCTGGAATGGCTTCTGGGTATCTGGACAATTTTAGAGTTTCCCTGCATTCTTCTCAGAAAGATACAAGAAGAGTTACCCAATAAGTTTAATAAATCTTTTTTAAGAACTCCTCATTCCTATGCATGAACAGTCATTACTTTTCCAATATGAATGTGAATTATTACATCTTTGTGCTGTATCCTATGATATCTTCTGTAAGAATAATTGCTGAAGATGAATTCTTCTCCAGTTATAAAAGTATAAATATAGCCTTCCCAAAACAGATATGTTTGCTGGTTTGAGAGCTGGAAGGATAAGCACTTTATCATGGTCTGTTTTGTTCTGAAGATGACAATAAGACAAAAAGTATGTATTGTCAGCATGAAAAAGTACAAAATGACTACAAAGCGTGATGTATTTTATGGCATAAATGATCTTAAAGAACTAAATAAAAATTGTTGGGTCTGTTACCCTAAAGTTTAAATTGAATAAAGTTTTTCTCAGTAAGATTGTTTTTGCTGCATAGCTGAACTCATAGATGAATTAGTTCTGTTTCTTTTTTTTTTCTTTTTAAGCAATGGAGGAACTGGATGGTGATGTAGTGAGGATTTCTTCAAGAGGAAAGTTTGCAGAAAGAGACATTGTGCAGGTGGGAGAGAAAATTTACTCTAATAGTTAGATTTTACTGATCGTGTTTGGTTTTAATTCTTGTTTATATCTATATTCCTGCCTTTCATTTTACCTTAGCACTGGCATACTTTATCTTGGGGTGTTCATAGCAACCTCAGAAACTCTCTGTGATACCTATAAGCCTTTATATAACTCATAGTAGTGGATCTGCATTCATTAGGAAATGACTCCTATCTGGCAGCATACTGATATAGTCTTAGGGTTATACAGCCATGGCACAAAAGTTAGTTGCCTCTGTACTGCAATCTCACTATGATTCCAGAAACAAAAACTGCAACTTTTGTGGAAGTCATCAATAGCTAGACTTCTATCGAGTGCATTTGAGATGCCTAGGGCACCTTTCCTTGGCTCTAACTGCCAGTCCAGAAGATCATGAGTGTCTCCCAGTTCCTATGTTGCATGTGCCACATACAACCATGCAGATGTCTCACGGTTTAAGGAACCTCAGATGATAGCTGGAACAGGTTGCCCAGAGAGGTGGTAGATGCCCCATCTCTGGAAACATTGAAAGTCAGGTTGGATGGGGCTCTGAGCAACCTGATCTAGCTGAAGATGTCCCTGCTTATTGCAAGGGGGTTGGATTAGATGACCTTTAAAGGTCTTTTCCAACCCAAACCATTCTATGATTCTATGATCTATGTTTACATGACTGAACGAAGCCCTAAGACTGCTACTGTCATCTGCATTCCGTGGATGCCTCCATTTCTCTGCCAAAGTCCTCTGGTTCTGTTCCTGCTCTCTACAATTATTCAGTCAGCTTGGTAGTTGTCATTCAAACCTATGCAACCAGTGGCAGGGTGGTATAACAGTTTCGCATGCACGTACACACCCACCATAATCCACCTTCCCCTCAAAGCTGCAGATTTCTAGAACTCCACAGGTTGTCCAAGCTGTGTACTTCATGCATGCTCCAGGCACCACATCTTGCCTCCCGTTTACCTATCTTGCCTAAGGCACATCTTGCCTTACCGTTTACCCCCCTGGACAGACTATTTTATAGTGATTTTCTTCATCAAATAAAATTAACTAGCTATGCATTTTTGATTTTCATGGGATACTAAAGTGGAACTAAAGAGAAAGATCTTTGATGGCTCAACACACTAATCCCTCCTTGCTAAAGTATTAAAGAAGTTGACATTTGAAAAGCAGCAAACTACTGAAAAATTGGATCAACCTGATGACTGTAGAATTATATCTGTCTAAAACTAAATCTTTTATGCAAAGCATATTTTCCTGAAAGTGTCTGAATACGTTTATGAAATAAAATATTTCAGTTGGAAGGGACCTACAACAGACATCTAGTCCAACTGCCTGACCACTTCAGGGCTGACTGAAACTTAAAGCATGTTATTAAGGGCCTTGGCCAAATGCCTCTTAAACACTGACAGGCATCCTTAGGTTCAAGCCTTACCTTAGATCTGCCATTTCTTCTTCTCCCTTTATTCCTCCTGTTTGTCAAAATTCATAGTCTTCACTTATTTTTTCTCTTGCTGATTTTCACTTACTTCTCTCCAAGCCAGGCTGGATTTTTATATTGTTAGTAGAATATATATATCTGTCTCTGTATATGTATATTGAATAACTGAGCTATATGAATAGTTCATACTGCAGGTGATAATGTTTCGATAATAATTCAAGTCAGATTGCAGCTGATGAATTTTGGAATATGTATATTTGTTTTCATTTATATATGCAGGAATGTTTAATGTTACAAATACTGGTATGTAAATGTTCAAGGATTTGGTAACTGCTGGTGCATACAATATCTCTATCCAAGGAAGTGTTTGAAACATATATATGACACCTGATTTTATAGTGCTTTTTGTTTACAATACAGAATAAACAAGTCTACATAAATATATGAAAATTAAAATGATCAGATTTTTTTTTTCCAGTCTTAAAGCTTCTCAGTGCAATAAATACTACATTAAAAATCCCTCTCTATTTTTTTCCTAAATGGAGATCAGAAATGAGAATAAGATGACAGCAGTTAAATTACCCTCATAATCTCTATGAATATACATTAAAGTCAGTCATAGATTCCTGAATTGCTCTTTCTAATAGTGGAAAAAGAGATTTTTTTTCAGTTCTGCAACATGCAGAGAAAACAACTGATGGGAGAGTGACATATCAAAACTCTTAGAAGAGTAAGACATGCTCTCTGCTTTAGTCAGTGTTGTCAAAAAGGTAATTATAATGTAAGGATGAGGAGAAGCTGGACCTCTGAATAGGAGCAAGAAATAACATTTCTCATTTTGTCAAAGCCTTTATAATCTTCCTTGGTAGTCCATGTTGGACTAGAGGGGCACTCTGTAATCTGTTATGCTATTTATGTCAGGGCTGTTCAGCAGAGCAATAGGTGGATATCTGCCTCCAGACCTAGAAGTGTCTGGACCCCACACTGGTATTTGTCCAAAGCCGTGTGCCATGTCAGATTTTTTTAAAGCTAATTTAGATCTCTGTGGCATGCATTGCACTTGTGTTTAAATGCATTTACATATATGCAATGTAATTATACATAATTTCTCCAAACAACAGCAGCTCTGAAAGCTGCTGGTTTATATTCAAAGAGCATAAATGGATAGAGTTCTTCAAATGTTATAAATAAGGTTTGTGAAAATGCTTTGCATCAGAAATATTCTAATTTCTGCTGAGAAATAAAAATTAATATGCAATGGATACCCTTTTGCATTTCTTTAGAATTCATTGCATATCAGAAACGTAATAAAACGTTTATTTACTATTAACATATTTCAGTCAGAACTTTGCCCCAAGCCATATTGAATTACCTGAAGACAGTATTATTTTGTGCTCTTTTTCTGTCTAAATACTAATAAATACATTATAGGCTTTATATGCCAAACCCTTTAGGTTTGGTATGACCTTTATTTTACATCTGGCAGGATAAAACTGATTTGCTTTTATAAAATTAACTGTTCAAAATAGAAAAAGTTTATCTTTTTTCTGTTTTAGTTAAAATTAGCTAGTGAAATTAACTGTTAACAGTCAGTATTGTGAAATATTTTAATTAAATTAGTAAAGGAAAAATTTGCCTGCTAACAGTAAGTCACAGTATCTGTTATATTCACTACTGACTGCAATTCATATAAAGACATGACTTTCATTATACCCTCCTCACTAGTATACGTACATACATATTGTAGGGACTCTGTATTACATGAGTACCAATTCTTCCTCAGTTTGTTTCATTTCTGCTCCTTTGTTATACTTTTTCTACTTAAGAAATTTTAGGAAAATACATACTCGTAGTGTTGTACCTATTGTTTCTCTTGAAAATTTTGTATATTAGCCTTTTAAATTAAACTCTCAAACAATAGATAAAGCAGTTTACTTTCCATCAGTTTCCCTTTGGTTTCTCTTATATCTTTCATTCTATTCCTCTGCCACCTCTAATTCTTCTACACGTTAGCTCTAGGCCTAGATGTCATTGCCAGCTGTCCTTGTATATGTGTATGTATGATGTATGCTTATCTGTCCTTAGTTCCTCCAGTTCCTCTGATATCTATATACCATAAGGAGAGGGGAGGGAGAACTAATTCAGACCATCCATATTGTATAATTGCATTTCAACAATAACACTGTTGAAATAGCCTCCCTTTGCTGTGGAACAGTGGTTTGAGTTTTTATGTCTGCAGACTAATGGGTAAGGTGATCTCTGGGGATGGAACACATTTTGTTCTTTAACTCAGACTGCATTTGCTTTTTATGTAAGACTGACATTGCACTAGAAAATGAATAACCACATGAGGGGGAAATCAACACCAAGCTTATCCCTTCCCAGTTGAATGTGTAAACCAGCAGGCTACAGAGATGCTTGTTTTGTTTTGCTATTCTTCTAACTTCATGCTTCTGGGGACAGCCAGATGTATTCGTACAGAAAAGCTGATGGAGTTTAAGAAGGAACAACCACTTGGAACAGGGCAATGCTGGGCTGGCTTCTGAAAACTGCTAGAGCTATTTTTATAAAATGGAAGAGTCAGTACTAGTAAATGTCACAGTATGTGCTTGTCTCTTGTATTGAAGAATTACTGAATAAACACAGAAGTAGTTAAGACAGCTAATTATGGAACTGCAGATACCTTGTTTCCTGGCTTAATACCCAAAAATCAGATTCCTTTTTTCCTGTTGTTCTCCTGCCCTTATGCCTGATACGTTCTTGGACACAATGAAGAGGTAAAGGATGCTGCTATCTGAAATAAAGGCTACTCTCATTGAATAGTCTTGCTGACTACTCTTGTAGTCCTGTTCACTCTGGCAACCTGCGCTACCTGGCTGTGCTTGAGCAGCAAGGTTGGACTAAAGGATCTCAGAGGTCACTTCTAGCTTCAACAGTTCTGTGTCTAAGTCGTCGTCTTCTAAGAAACTGCAGATCTACTGCTTCCCGGGGAAACGCCCTAATCAGTAACTGTTTACACGTAGTTTGGTGGCAGGTTTCTGTTTAATTCAACATAGCTCAAATACCTAGGCTTGAAGCCTTTTTTTCTGGCAATTTGAGATATTTTTCAAGAGAATTATGCAAAGAGTCATCTCTTACTTGAATTCTAAACACCTTTCAGTAGGAGACTGATGCCTAGATAGGTTTTGGAATTTCAGTGTGAGAAGTGCTTTCCAAAGTTGTAAAAATTATTTAATGAAGTTCACGTTCTTTATTACTGAAATGTTATCTTTGGTTTTGATTGGGTTTTTGTTTCGTCCCCTCCTCCCCCCCTCCCCGAGTTTTTTTTTATTTGTTTCATGTATTTCTTTTGTTTATTTCTGTCTTTTCTGGAAAACTCTCAGGGTCTCAGAAATACAGTGTAGGCTAAACTCTCACTGTAATTCAGTGTTCCCCTGAATCTTGAAAACTTCAGTGCTTTTTAGAAAAATTGAATTTAATCTGTAGCCTTGGTTGCTGTGCATCCAAGAAAGCAAAATTTGTCTGGTTGGTATAATGGGCAA